GTTAACTATGTTACTATCCTTTTCATCATAATTGTTATGTTGATATCCCCACCAACTATTCAACGGGGCTTGTAAAGCAACGCTTCTTACCCCTTATAAATTCATTGTTCATTGTTCAAAACCCGATCCGAGTCCGACCAGCTGGGGTACTATGTTGTCCACCGTTAGCATTGTACCCAACTAGTGCGCGAAGATAGAGGCAGCAGATAAACAGACTTAAGCCAGCGCGTTTTACTTCCAATCATAAGCTTCTGTACAAGCACGTGAACAGCCTCCGCAAGGTTAACAGTGGATTTCCCCCACTTCAACCAGTGGATGGTCTAACTCGGACTGCCGAAGAAGCGTCGAATATTCTACAACAATAATGTGTACCAATGTTTCATTGAATCCCGTGGTCTCCTGGGCCTTCAGAAGCTATGGTGTTACCACCAGTACTTATTTATCTAAGCCTTTCGGCAGACACTATGATGAAAAAGCTGCTATACACATGGCTGTCCGAGAAATGAGGATATCTGCCCAAAGACGCTTATTGTAACGGCAAATGGTTTCTCTGAGCATTTAGGGCGGCTGTTTCAGCACCACCTTGACGAGAGGCTTGTTCCTGCGACGTAGTAACACGGGATAATAACTCCAATATACTAAGGGGGAGTTGTTCCAACCTAGCTAACCATTGTTCCGTGACTCCTCTGCCAGTTCTTTCAAGAGTTATGGAGGCTGTCCTTGCCGACGCACTCATGTCTTATCTGGATCGTTATGATTACACTGCTCAGCAGCAACACGGCTTCCGCCAGAATCAGTCGTGCACCACTAACCAATTGTTTGCACGAGGCAGCGGAATCGAATGGCTGGATGCTGATCCCAGAGCTGCTGCGGCTTACCTTGACTTCTCTAGGGCATTCGAACTGTTAGAATATCGTGATCTTCTCGCCAAACCTCAATGATGTGGCACTGGAGGTCCTTCCCACGGGTGGATCAGCAATATGCTCGTGTACAGCCTTCTGGTGTGAGAGTGCGTAAATCCAAGTCAGAATTAATTAGCGTCCAATGCGGTGTATCACGGGGTTCGGTACTGGGGCCCCGCCTAACCTTGGTCTTTACTGACGATCTAGTGACCCAAATCACTTAAAACCGTTTACTCTATGCCGATGACATCAAAGTTTGGCGAGCGAACGAAACTCCAAAAGACCGTATCCAGCTACAAAACGACCTTGACAAGATCTACGAAAAGTCGATCCAAAATCGCCTTTTATTTAGTGTAGCTAAATGTTGTGTGCTCCATTTGCAACCCCGAATGGTTCACACTTATAAACTGGGGGACCCGAATATGCAACCATTTTCTTAGGATACGAATCTTGGTGTGCTGGTCCAGGAAGATCACGGCTACTCGGAGCAATCCGGAAAAGCACTGGAGAAGGGGATCCAAATTTTGAGGCTCCTACGATGAGGTTGCGGATGTTTCAGAGGTGGGAGCTACATCGACCGCATCTTCACTTTGCGTCAGTTGTTCGAGCACAGTCATGTTTATTGGCGACTCACCATTATCGTGTTCGTCGACATCAAATGTGCCTCCGATTAGGTGGAGCGCTCTGTGCTTTGGGACTGTCTGCTGAGGAAAGGTATGCCCGATAAGTACGTAAACATTATCAAAGCGCTGTACGCGCATAGTTCGGGCAGAGTGAGGGTTTATGGCAAGCTGTCGCCGCCCTTCAGTATCTCCAGTGGTGTGAAACAAGGTTGCCTGCTGTCACCATGCCTCCTTAACTTCGTTATTGACGCAGTCATAGAAACAGCGTTCGCTGGACACGACCTAGAAGGTCTGGAGCTACTACCTGCTGAGCGACTTCTTGACTTGGAGTATGCGGACAACGTTACCCTAATCTGTGACAGTGTCCAAACATGCCAGGTTGCACTGGACTGTCAATCGTTTTGGGCTATGCTTTGCTCCATCGAGATGCGAAGATCTTCTCCAAGATTGACAAGGACCCACCCCTGCGCTGACCCTTGGTACTGATCGCCTAGAAGTCCTTCAGGAATTCAAGCACCTGGGCAGCTATATTAGCGCCCGTGGGATCGAAGCTGAGATTACAAACCATATAGCAAAAGCTCGAGCTGATTTTGGCAATCTCCGCCACCTGTGGCGCAGACGCGTCATCACTCTCTCAATTAACGGTACAGTGTATAATGCAGCTGTCCGTTCAACCCTCTTATACGGTTGTGAAATCTGGCCCATCAGCTTGATAGATTTAAAGAGGCTATCCACTTTCGATCATCGCGGCCCCGCAGCTTAGGTCACGTCTGGTTGGTTCACCGCGTGAGCAATGAGCGTATTCGACGTCGCTTATTTGGTTCAGGAAGAGCTAGTGAACCGTCCAGCACCATTATCTCACGCACCAGGCTCCGATGGCTGGGCCACCTGTTGCGCATCCTAGCACACCGACTCCCGCGACGTGCATTGGTTGCTCGCCGCGGGTGCTGCTGGAGAGGGAGGAGGGCATGCCAAGCGATGACCTGGGCGAGAGAAATGATTACCCTCACTTCGAACTTGGTTCCGTTTGGTGCATCCCGACTACCTGGCTGGGGTGCTAAAGACGATGAACACGTTTGGTTAGACACACTTATTGATATGGCTAGGAGCCGGCCTCATTGATGTTTGTATTGTGAGTCTTTGTCCCTCACTTCCCCCTTTAGACTCTCCTACAAATGCGCTCAAATACGAACAGCATATTAGAATATTTAACCTTATGTTACTTATTGCTGAATTCCTTGCGTTATACTTTTTTAGTATCTCATGTTTTTGTACTGCGGCACAGTAGGTGAACTGTGTTCCTCACACTCAGCTTATGGGTATTGATGACGTTGATGATTCGGATGCTTCAAATCACCTACTTACCGCTAACTACTTTCCGCTTACGTACGCCCTCAGGTTGAGTATGCAATTCAAGCATTGCAAAAATGGCTGAAGCGGGATCTAACTGCTTTGGAGATACCTCAAAGCTGGGCGACCAATAGTGTTAAGGGGCTACGCTACGTGCCATACGAACAACACCAAAGACTGCTAGACTTTTCAGCGGACGCTATCGATGTGTGTTGTGAACTAATCAGGAGTTACCAATTTCTAAACAAATCTAATCACTAGTACCATCACCTGCTTAAGTTCATTCACAACAAGAGACTAATAGGTCACTAGCTCAAATTGGAAAAACAATACAACCGGTTGGATTGCCGAAGAAGCTTCTTCTCACCGCGTGTTTGCCATACATGGAATACCCTCTCAGAGACGGTTTTCTCAGCCTCTACATTAGCCGTGTTCAAACCTCATGTTGACGATGCACTGGCTGTACTACGCCATATAGCGTAACCCAAACGACCCACACACAAAAAACAGGAAAACAAATACACATCAAAGCACATACCTTTTCCCTGGAAACTACAGACGACCATTTTAGATAATACATCAAACCAAGTGTAAACTTCTCAGACGGGAACACTGTAACCAGCAAGTTGGCACTTGGTGATTTTTCAGTAGTTATTGTTATTTTTCCTTCATTTTGTGCACCCCTAATCGGTCAAGTGGCGCGACATTTCAAGCTTCCGCTTCTTTTTGCAACAATATACAATTAACCAGTACCCAAGGCGTTGTCAGTCATATCTTGCAACCACCAGCAGTTTTGTTTTAACTGCCTCCTCTTGATCAGGCTGCCAATTAAAATTGTGTACGGTAATAAGTTGTGCATGCAAGCTTGGCTATAGTGCAAAGCAGTAAAAGGCACAAGGACGCTGTTTCGTCGTCGACTCCACTTTCCGGTAACCGTCAGTCTTCTCAGCATCGGGATACTCATGGGGTGTAAAGTCTCGGCTATAAATGATGAGTTAGAGCACTTCTGTTACAAACTGTCTTTCACCTATCCTCAGTTATCAGTCATCGTTGGTGGCGTATTCGTGGCTATATGTTAGAGAACCCTCTGTGAAGCACTGATATAGTGCTGCATTTTGTGTGACATTTTGAAAGTTTGCCTTGCATAGCATAAGCCACCAAAAATATACGCAGACGAAAAAAGCTAGTGGTCTATTTGTCAATGTTCATCTTGCCTAGAGCGCGGCGTTGAACCGCGGCAAATGTATCACGGATGCAATGTCAGCGACAAAGAA